CTTAGTTGTGGTTGTAAGTGGGGTCACACTCACCATTTATCACATAGGTGGAAAAGAACATGTTAATAATAAGGAAAATGTTTTGTACGGAGAGGAAGAGGATATAAAGAAGACTTAAATATAGAAAATACTTGAACTACTTAAGATGGTGCCCAATAATTGCTACTTTAAAGAAATAACCAAAATGTGGAAACAGAAAATTTCTAACAGATGATTTAAGAGATTTTGGGGGTGTAGGCCAGGAAAGTCTTAGCACTTGAGTGGCACATACAAATGTAGAGACTTCTCTGCGTGGCCAACACCTGTGGCCTCTGGTTGTCACATAGGCGATGGGGGATGGTTCGGCATCCCCCATGTCCTCGGCACTGTGCTGCCCACACCTACAGGGGTCTCTGATGTAGTTGAGGGTGGTGGATAGATGTCAGACAGGTATTTATAGCAGCTTGTCTCCAGAGGGCTGCTGCACTAGTCAGGACAACAAAAGCACATGGCATCAAGGGAAAGGTGATTACGGCCTGAAATCACCAGGAGTAGTTTATTCTAGAGTAGAGAGAGGCTATTTCAAACGCTGATAGCAAGTGAAGATTGAATCTTTTTTTTTTTTTTGGTACTGGGAGTTGAACTTGGGATCTTGTGCTTGCGAGGCAGGCAGTGGCACCAATGAGCTAAATCCCCAGCTCAGAGTTGAATCTTAAGTGTCTTGATTCTTTTTAAAAAAATTTTAATGGAAGATATTTCCAAAACCTAAGAATTTTATCTCACAATTTTCTGTCCTGATTAGATCTATATTTGTGGTTCTCAACAGAAGGCACCCCCTCCCCTTCAGGACAGTTGGCAGTGGTGTACGTGCCTGGTGGGTTGGGGCCAGCAATGTATGAGGCAGCCCCACCCCAACCAAATGTCATGTGAGTTAGTAGGGCTGAGATGGAGAAACCCTGGTCCTTATGTGCTTGAGGGCCAGCGAAGGGATAGAGAGAGGGGCCCAGCCACTTGTCTGTCATGAACTTTGTGTGACTGAGGCCTCCAGGAGGTGTAGGGCTGGGAGCTGGGAACAGTACACGCGTGGTGTTGAAGTAGCGCGTGAGTATTCAGTCCAGCATTCAGCTTGGTCTTGTGGAAATCACATTTAAACTAGGGACATGGTGAAGGATGACTGATGAAAGAGAACTGTTTCTGAATAAACACTTTTCTGAGCTTGATCCAAGTTTGTGTCATGCCCGATATTTGTACATCAAGCTGTTATGAAAGAGTTGTCTTAACTCTTTACCTTAGCAAACCAAGACCTCTGGGCTTAATGAAAAGACATGGAATTTAGAGTTAGATTCCTAGATTTCTATTTCTAGTTCCAGTTATGTGACTTTGGCAAGTACTTAATCCCTCTGAGTTGTACTCTGTAAGAGATGATAGTAAAATCCTTTGTAAAAGAGTATAACAATAAATAAGGAATGTGTTGATTTTTGTTGGTTTGTAGAAGGTGTAGTTTGTGGTGAGGATTTAAGAGGCATTTCATGTTCAGTACTGAAAACATTACCTTGCACATCCTTGGTATTTAGTAAATGTTAGCTATTATTATAACCCTTTCAGTAATCCGTAAGAGGAAGTATTGTCACACCCTCTGCATAAGTGTAGACACTACTAGGATAAAGAGAATGTATAACTTAATGTAAGACACGAAGTAAATGATAGAACCAGAATTCAAATTTAGGTCTTTATCTCCAAATTTTATATATTTATCATGTTGCTTTGATAGAGAAGTGAAAAAATGGAAAAGTTAAAGGAAAAACATACTATTAAAAAAGCACTTTTCAGGCTGGGGATTTAGTCCAGTGGTGGCGCTGCCTGACTCACAAGCCCCCTCCCCCACTAAAAAACACTTTTCTTCTTATGCCCATACTAAAATATCCCTTCTTGGCTTAAGTTGGTGATTCTCTAAATGTCTCATGTGATAATATATCAATTGCTATGCATTTTCGGTTTCTGATATAACAGTGTTTCTCTAATTTGTAAAACGATAACTAAGCATCCTTAAATTTTTCTTGAAACCTATTAAAAATAAATTCTCATTCCCAAGGCTTAAGAATTGCTCAGTTCCAGTCTCTTCTAGAGGTAATAATGATTTTGTTTCTGATCATACCTGGAAGAATCTGCTAATAGTAACCAGCACCACTTGATTTTTTTTCCATGACACCATCATTTTTATCTTTTGTTCCACTGATGCCTACTTACTGAAGCTGGCATTTTAGAATGGCAGTGGATATACTATTTATCTGTGTTTTGAGTTACAGTCAACCACAGCCTAGAAATTCTAGAAATACACAGCTCGTTAACTTTTAAATTGTGTGCTTTTCTGAGTAACATAATGAAGTATTGCTGTCTCCCAGTCCATCCTGCCCAAAATGTGAATTACGTATTTGTCCACTGTTTCTACATTGTATATGCTACCTACCCATCAGTCATTTAGTAGCCATTCTGGTTGTCAGATTGACTGTCAGTGTGTGACTTTTACTTAGTAATGGTGCTGCCAGCAATTGCAGTCTGCTAAAGAGAAGCTGTGTTTTCTTTAAACATCACTTCAGTATCACAAGAAGAAGGAGGAGTTCAGTATAGGGAAATATGTATTTTGAGAGAGAGTAGCTATATTCAGTATATTGTTAAATTGGGCCTATTTTATTTTATTTATTTTTTGGTACGGGGATTGATCTCTGGTCCTTGCGCTTGCAAGGCAGGCCACCAAACCACTGAGCTAAATCCCCGGCACTGGGTCTATTTTATTACAGCTATTTTTTAGGAGTCAACTGTGTCTAGTTTATAAATTAAACTTTATCGTATGTATGTATAGACACTGAGTATCCCTGATCCAAAATGTGTAGGACTAGAAGATTTTTTGGATTTGGGGTATTTTTTTTTTAATATCTGTACATTCATAATGAGGTATCTTTGCGATAGATTTTAACTGTAGCCCTTGATGTGAAGTCAGGTGTGGAATTTTCCACTTGTAACAGTATACTGATGCTCAGAAAGTTTTGGATTTGGGAGCATTTTAATTCCTGAGATGCTTAGCCTGTAGGAAGAACATTATAGATAGTGTTTGGTATTATCTGTAGTTTTAAAGATCCCTAAGGGATCTTTGTATAGCTCTGTTGTTACTGGGCTTTGGGGTAGTGGAGTCTGTTTTTAGAGGTGATTTCTAAGTTCTCTCTGTCCTGAACAAAGAAATGAATGAAACAAATACAAACAGTGGAAGAATTTCACATTTATTAAAAGTAGGGGGAAAACGGAAGGGTAGGGAACAAATGAGCCATGCAGAGTGAACTTGGGAAAAAGGAAGAAGGTAAAAATACACCCTGCAGTGTAAGGTGGGCTGCTGTGAGGAGACACTGTAGTGAGTGTGCGTAACGGTGACTGTCCCTTTTTATACTTCCCGTGCTGGTGCCACATCCAGGTCCTCCTGTTAGAGACCTCTCACAGGAAGGCCGTAGTGTGCAGGGCTCTGAGAATTGTTCTGTGCATGTGTCCCAGGACCTTGTCATGCCTCCTTTCCACCTAGTGGGAGCCACATCCTGTCTTCCTGCCTCAGATCCCCCATGGGTGAGGAAGAACTACTCGTCTTATTATGCCTTTCAGAGTAATCTGTTTCACATAACAGCTTCCCCTCGCTGTGTCCCTGAAGATCCAGAAGTTGAACAGGTAAAGTCATTTATTCCTTCCTAGTCTAGTATCTTGTGGCGTCAATGAAACCATAGATGCTAGAGCAGATTTCAACAGCAATCTCAGAGACGAGTAAGTTCTTCTTAATAGGAATGGTATTTCCACCCCTTGAGTCCTAGAGACAAAAATGTCTAGCAAACAAGATTTATGTAATTCTTTTCGTGAGAAGAATAGTTGTACAGTGGGTGCATGTGGACAGAATTTTTAAAAACATTGAACCAAGCAAAAACAGTTTCTTTAAGCAAGGTGGGGAAAGTTGTGTTTTTGAGAGGGGAGTCTTTGGCATTTCTGCTCTTAGACTCCTGGGTGGGCTTTCATGTTCTATTCCAAGGCAGGGTTTTGTGTTTTTTTTTTAACTTTCTGATCCCCAGTCTCCTCTGGAATATTTGCTAAATATTGAGATTCCTTGGCCTGTGTCCTAAGATGGTAATTCAGGGAGTCTCAGGTAGAGTCCTTGAATCCTGGGGTGGTTTGATTCTGTGCATTCTGCTCCAGGCTTGTCCTCCATTGAGATGATTGAGATGCAGACATGATCTCTAGAGAGCTTAATTGCAGGTGGCTCATTCATCTCAAGACAGCTTTCTTTCAGGATGTGTGCGTGTTCTTGTGGGGGCACTAGTTTTTACATTTTTGTCTTATTTTAAAAATTGGAATATTTGTTTATAGTGACTGTTAAAACATATGTGCTGTTGCTGTTAATCTTTGCAAATGAAAACATGGACTAACCTTTTTGTGTATTGTAATGATGCTCTCATTATTATTGACCTAGACTAATATTCTGTGATTTTAAAAAAATTGTGCAGCGTATGCGTGTCAGGCAGCTTTGTATCACTGTGACAAAATACCCAAGATGACCCATTTATAAGGAGGAAAGGTTTGCTTAGGCTCAGTTTCAGGTTTCAGTGCACATCGTCTTGAGCATGAGGTGAGGCAGCGTACCGTGGCTGGAGTGTGCATGGAGGAGGCCTGTTCACCTCTTGGTGGCTGGAAACAGGGAGGAGGGCTGTGATCTTCAAGGGTACCCCAGTGACCTAGTTTTCTTCTAGGAGCCCCAACTCCCAATGGTTTCCCGTCTCCCAGTTGTGCCACTGTCTGGGGACCAAGCCTATAACACGGCGGCCTTTAGGGAATGTTTTAGATCCCAGCTGTAACAGTATGGTAATTGATATTAAATACATTTATGGTTAGAACTTTGATAATGAGGAAATCCCTTCCTTCCATCATCACCACGGCCATTTTATCACTTTAGAATGTAAATGAAAGCTCATAGTGATTGTGTCTTTTCTCTTCAGATAGGAACCAAGGCTTCAGCCTTCTCAATTCATTGGCCGGGACAAACCACAGCCTTGGAACAACAGAGACCCTTCACTCAGAGGTAAATAAAGACTTTTCTCCTCTTTGGCCTTAATTTGTCCTTTTCATTATGGCTCTGTACACATTCATCATCTTTTCCTTTCCATTTAAGAGGAGGCAGAGAATTTTAGCAGTAAACGACAGCCTCCACAGCCCTGTTGTGAGCGATGCCTGCTGGGGGTGGCTCATTCAGCCCTGTGATAGCACTCAGCCCTTCCCAGAGGTTTGCAGCTTCGGCTGCTCTGTTTTTTCTCCTAGAGTGTCTTTTGAGCCCTCAGTGAGCTGATAGTCCAGTCTCAGTCCTCTGTCCTCGAGGACTCTGGCCAGGTCTGCTTGGTTCAGCACCCTCAAAGCAAGGGCCATGTTGTCTCTCCACAGATCTTTCTAATTAGCCTCCAAGCAGTTTGTGTTTTGATTATATTCATTTTCACATTTTGAATATAACATGAATCTTTTAAAATAATTTTCATAATATGTTTCATTAGTGCCTAGTAATTTTATAAATCCTGAGTTTCAGCATGGTGTTTCCATACATGCATATGCATATTTGCATCATAGCCATTTCCCCCAGTACCTTCCCTTTTGTTCTTTATGGCTGAATAATACTCCATTGTGTACACATTCCATATTTTTTTATCCATTCATTTGTTGCTGGGCACCCAGCCTGGCCCCATACCTCGGCTATTGAGAATTGTGCTGCAGTATTTTGTGTGGACTTTCATTCCTTTGAGTATGTATCAGGGAGTGTTAGGACTGGGTCATATGGTAGTTACATTTTTAGCTTTTTAAGGAACCTCCATACTGATTTCCACAGTAGCTGTACTAATTTACTTTCCTACCCGCATTTCAAAGGTTCTTCCCCTCCCAGTCCCATCTTTGCCAGCATTTATTGTTTGTGTATTCTTAACAATAGCCAGCCATGTGCAGTGGCACACGCCTGTAATCCCAGCACTTGGGAGGCTGAGTCAGGAGGATCGCTGCCTGTTCAAGACCACCTTGGGCTACATAGTGAGTTCAAGACCAGCCTGAACTATATAGTAAGACCCTGTCTAAAAAAAAAACAAAAAACACCTTCTGATTAGGCTATGATAAAATCTCAGTGTTGTTTCGATTTGCATTTCCTTAATGGATGAAGATGTTGAATTTTTTTTTTCCTTACAATGGTTGCGTTTGTACTTCTTGACAGATCTGTTCATTTGTGCATTTATTGATTGGGCTTTTCTTTTTTTGGTGGTAAAGTTTTGCGTTCTATGCATATTTTACATATTAATGTAATCCTTTGTTGGAAGAGTGGCTGACAAAAAAATTCTCCCATTCTGTAGGCTCTCTTTTCACACTGTAGGTTTTCTTTGCTGTGTAGAACCTTTTTAATTTGTTAATTCTTACTATTATCTTCTGTGAATCTTATTCAGAAAATCTTCATTTCTTTTTTTGGGTGGATACCTATCAAATGTTTCCCCTGTGTTGTCTTCCAGCAGTTGCAAAACTTCTGGTTTTTGATCCTGTTTTTTTTTTGGGTTTTTTTTTTTTGTACCAGGGATCAAACCTGTGCTTACAAGGCAGGCAGCGGAATCACTGAGCTAAATCCCCGGCCCTCTTTAATCCCTGGACCTCTTTAATCCATTTTGAATTGATTTTTGTATAGGTAAGAGATTTTGATTTTGATTTTGTACAGGGATCTAGATTCAGCCTTCTACATAGATACTAGTTTTACCAACACCATTTTATTTTAAAAAGATGATGTCTAGGGCCAGGGATTTAGCTCAGTGGTACCACACCTGCCTCACAAGCTCAAAGTCCTGAGTTTGATCCTCAGTACCAAAAAAAAAAGATGTCTTTTCTTCACCATCTATTTTTGGTCCTTTTGTCGGGAGTCAGATAACTGTAGTTGTGGATTTGTTTCTGGGTCTTTGTATCCCATTTATCTACATGTCTGCTTTTGTGTGAGTATCATGCTGTTTTTGTTACAATAGCTTTGTAGTATAGTTTGTTTTTTGTTTGTTTGTTTGTTTGTTTTGGTACTGGGGATTGAACTCAGGACTTTGTACTTGTCGGGCAGGTGGCAGAACCACTGAGCCAAATCCCTGGCCCTGTATTATAATGTGCAGTCAGGTATTGTGATGCCTCCAAGCCTTATTCTTTTTGCTTAGGATTGCTTTGGCTATTCTTCTGTGCTTCCTTGTGAATTTTAGGATTTTTTTTCTATAAAGAGTATCATTGGAATGTTGATAAAAATTGCATTGAATTCATAGATAGCTTTCAATATGGCCATTTTAACAAAATTAATTCTGCCAATTCATGAACATGGGAGGTCTTTCCATCTTCTAATGTCTAGTTCAGTTTCTTCCTTGGGGTTTGTAATTTTCTTTTTGTGTGTGTGCGGTACTGGGGATCAAACTCAGGACCTTGTACTTTCAAGGCAGGCACAGCACCTACTTGGTTAGGTTGATTCCTAGGTGTTTATTTTTTTAAGCTATTGAGAATAGTTATTTTCCTGGCTTCGTTCTCAGTTAATAATTAGTTTATAGAAAAACGATTGATTTTTTTTAAAGTTGATTTTGCTTCCTGCTGTTTTGCTGAATTTGTCTATTAGCTCTAAAAGTCTTTTGGTGGCTGTTTAGGTTCTCCTTAGGTTCCTGTTGTCTGCAAATAAGGGTGATTTGACTTTCCTATTTGTGGCCCTTTTACTGTTTTCTTGCCCATTTGCTCTGGCATCTCCTGTACTGAGTAGGAGTGCTGGGAGTCGACATCCTCCTCTCCTGGATCTTGGAGGAAATGCTTTCAGTTCTTCCCTCTGCAGTTGACAGTGAGCATCTCAGGTGACATAAAAAATGTTAGCCAAGTCAGAACACGTGTTAGTTTTCTCTTGAGGGAAACTTCTCGTAGGTTAGGGAATTCTTAGCCTCTTAGTTGAAAGAGGAATTGTCCTGCTGTTGTTCTTTCTTTCCTCTCCTCTATCTCTGTTACTGTTTGTCTTACAGCCAGCAAGGAAGTGTGAGAATGTGAGCCTTTTAAATTGTTGTCTCTGGGTATTTTTCTCAAAGCAGCCCCCTTTGCCGGCAGCAGACAGGACAGAATCCCTCCCGGACTATCGGGGTGGCGCGTCTACCACAGCAGGTGCCCAGGTCGATAGCATTGTGGGTAAGTCCTGGCTCTGCGGAGTTTGCAGTAGGTGCGCGGGCGAAGTTGAGGGGGCAGTTGACCGTAAACATGAAGAATGGAAGGAAATGGGTGATGTCTGAGGAAGGGGGAAGAATAAATGACAAATACATGTGGGCACCGTTTACTCCTTGGTCCTCTTAGCAAGATCTTCATTCAGATCTTAGGTGGCATAGGCAGAACCGGATGTTAAAACAGCTTTACAGTTCTGTCTTCCACAGTTGCTTCTGACAGTATTTAGCAGTAGTCAGAATTAATGGGGACAAGAGTAATGCAACGTTATATTGATAAGCCCTTTCACATCCTTTTAAAGTTTTTTTGTATCCACTTTCTCACTTGGTAATGAAATTAGGCAGGAGAGTTGTTCTATGGAAATGATATTGACACCTAGAGAAAGCTAATAACTTGTTCAAGGGACATCGTGCCCCTGGAACCAAGTCTCCTGTCTAGAGCCAGAAAGCCAAAGAGCTTAGAGTTGACAATAAATGTTCTTTTGTATGGGGAGCAACTGATAAGCTTGCTTTCTCGTCATGCTGCTGAGCACTCATGTGCCATCACAGTTTTTTAAAGTTGTTTTTCCGATTTTTTAATAATCCGTATAGAAAATTCAGGGGATTGGTTATAGAATTGTATTAAGAGAAAATTAGATGTAATCCTTTTCTTCTCTTTGGTTTGTTCAACCTTCTCCTTTCAATTGAATCCTTCCTATTGACCTTTAAAACTGTGAGCTTCTGCCGCCACCATTCTCTTGCTTGCTGGCTGCTCTGTGACAGGTAGAGCAAGGATGGGCTGATTGGGGCTGGCATTGTTGATCTCTAGTTTTCATGGCTGATTATTTTCTGGCTAAGTCTTATTTTGACAAAACATGATAAAAAATATGTTTTAGATAATGGGATCTAGCTTTCCATTGTCAGAGAAAGAAGTTATATAAATAGGTAAAGAGGAATTTCTAGAATGAACGTGCTGATGTTGGATTGGAATTTAACATATCACTATAAACTCATGCTTGTAAAAATAGACTTAGAACAATAGGGAAGTGAAGTCACATGTGTTTACGTGTGTTAATGTAGATACATGTATTTCCTAGCTCTGCCCACCAACAAGCTCGAAAAGCTCCAGTATCTCCACAGCAGTGCACACGCTGAGCACTTAGAACCTGGCTTCTAAATACCAGGCTCCAGTGAAAGGAACTGGGGCTCTCTGAGCACCGACGGATGTGATGTCTGGGCCAGGATCATCTTGTGCTGCCCGAAGTAAAGAAGTGGGTGTGGAAAGGGCACATGGACCAGCCTGAGGGCTTCCGATGGCTAAGGCTTGAACAATGAGACCAGCGAAATAAGCTCATGTGTGATTAGTGTATCTCATAGAATAAATGTCCATGAGTCTATACTAACATACATATAAGTGGGAAAGATGAGACCTCCTCCTCACACACATTCCAGTTCATAAATGCAGAAGGAATGAGGGAAATAGAAAACCAACACAAGGCATGTACAGTTTTTGCAGGCAAGGTGGAAATTAGTGAATGAAAGTTTGAATAGGGATCGGTTGTTTGCATATTCTAGACATTTCTCCTCTCAGGTAATTATTGATTACAAAGAAGAACGTAGGTACTGTACTCTGGAGAAACCTGGCAGATACCAGTCACAGGCCTCCTGACACCAGATCCCCCTACTGGAGACCCCAGGAAAGCCCAGCTCCTCCACTGTGGTCTTGCCCAAGATGTCATAAAAAGAGCACATCAGGCCGGACTGAAGGACATCGGGCAGAATTACTGAACAGGACCCTTCCAAAGTGTCAAAGTCAGGAGAGACAAACTAAGTGGGGACACACTAAGGTGGCTAAATTCTGAGTATGTTCCTGGGACACAGAAAAGATACTAATGGGAAAAGTGATGAAGTCTGAAGAAAGCCTGTGAGTTAGTTAGTAGCGTAGAGTCAACATTAACTGTTTTTCAGTACTTGTAACAATATAAGGTGTTAACACAGGGTACAGTGGTTGCAAGACCTAAAGAATTCTATACTGTTTTGGCAACTCTTTGTGAGCTGAAAGTAATTTCAGAATTGGCCTGGAAATGTCAGAAGGCACCGCAGCAATGCAGGTGCTGCGACAGCTCGGAGCAGTACAGAAAGAGGCGGGGTGGGGCGTGGGGAGATGCTGGAAAGCTGATGGGCCAGGAGCGGAGAGTGAGTGGAGTTTGATTATAAACAAACTTTGATGAACAAGTGTGTGCTGAGTTACAGTGGATAAAGGATCTGTAGTAAGAAGATAATCAATTTAAATCAGCTCTGCCTCTGCATAGCTAGCTGTAATTTAGGTGAGTTCATTTTAAAGTAAAGTTTTCATCTATAAGCTGTGGATAGTGATGTCTGGCCTTATCAGCATACGTGGTCGCCGTCAGGAGTAGATGCGACAATATCTGTTGTGCTACAAAGTGTGCCATCACCTTTGGTCACTGCTGTGAAGCAGCGGAAGCACCTAGATCTCGGTTCTTTCAGTAGCCGTGACCCGGGTGAGTCGCTCCAGCCCAGAGCTTTGGCACTGCTTTCCTTACAGTGCCGTGGGGTTGCAGGCAGTTTCTATACATTGGTGGTGCGAGAGTGGCCAAGCAGGAGAGGCGCGCTGGCCACTCAGTCCCTGGCCGCGGTTTGAAGCTAGCATTGCTTGCCTTGGGAGTCTGGGTGTTTGGGCCAGGCATAAATAACGTGTTACAAATCCTGATTTCAGATCCCATGTTAGATCTGGATATTCAAGAATTAGCCAGCCTTACCACTGGAGGAGGAGATTTGGAAAATTTTGAAAGACTATTTTCAAAGCTAAAGGAAATGAAAGGTAACAGACTCCACTCTTTCTAACATAGTCCCATATTAATGCTCATCTGTTTTATGTAGCAAGATTTTATTTTGTAAGTGCTGGATTGGATGTGAGTCTGGTCTTAGCTCTACTGAGAAATTTACCTACTTTGAGGGGGCGCAATCCTCTGTTGAGAAAATTTCCTTTCTTCATTCTCTTTCTTCTTGCTTTCCCATCTTCTTGTGCCTCTGTTCTTTCGGTGTGTCTCATTAACACGGCATCTCTCAGGCCCTCAGGCCCCCACCAATTTACTTACATCATTTCCCTCTAGAAAGTTTGGAAGATTGAAACACACTAGTAGCAGCGATGACCACACTGTAAACATACATCTTTGAAACCCACGTCCAACCTTCTCATGCTGAAACATTCATACACTCCAGATTCCCTTATGCTGCCAGACAAGACAAATTTCTTAAGATATATTTTCCTCCTAGACAAGGCTGCGACGCTTCCTCATGAGCAAAGAAAGTTGCACGCAGAAAAGGTGAGAAAAGCAGTCAGGTATTTATTAAATACCTACAAAAGGTCCAGTGTTGTTATATATCACACTTGCGTGCTTCTAAAGGGTCTTAGTGTGAGCTTTCATTGGGTATTAACTTGCAATGAAATATTTGTACAATAGTAGTACAGTTAGTTGGGTCAAAATAATCTCGTGTGTGTTGAGTGATATGGAACCTTCATTGAGACTTGGGATGTTTGTCTTCTTAGCTTTGGGGCCAGAAGACTCTTAGCTACTTTGTTATGATCAACCTAACACCTGTTCTTGGCAGGAAACTCACATGGTTGATGGTATTCCATTACATGTATGTATCATACATTATCCAGTTCCTTTTTGGAGATTTGGGCCAGCAGTATATTTTTTTTGCTTCTGTAAATAATGCAGCTGTGCATATCCTTACACATCTCTCCGTACACAGCTCTGGTCATATCTTAGCTTAAATTCCTAGATGTGGAAGTCCTGGGCTAAAGGGTATTTAAGGATTTTAGTTTTGCCAGAGGGCTGGAGGGCGACGTGTAGAAATTGAGGTCTCAGTTAGTGCAAGGTAGGACTGAAATTCAACTGTTGCCTAAAACTTGTTGCCTGCTTCTCTCCACAGGTGGCCAAGGCCTTCTGGATGGCAATTGGGGGAGACAGAGATGAAATTGAAGGCCTTTCTTCTGATGAAGAACACTAGATTTTTCCAACTAGGTTTGACTGACAAAGATGCTAGCTGTCTCTACTGGAGATACTTCCCTACTCGAGCCAGTTATATCTTGCTGAGATTTCCATCGTTTGTTGGCCTCTGGATTTGTTTTTAGGGTCCCTCTTGATGTTAGTTTTCCGTAGGGAGTTCCGAAGAAGTCTTTCTCCATCCGTGTAAGGAGGTGAGGAGTACAGTGACAATAATGAGAATATCTCAGATACATATTTTGTTCTACGAATGGGATAGGGTGAGTCTCAGAGGTCTGTGTGATGTGCCCAAGTTACAGAAGAGGGAAACCAAGCAGCCACTCCCAGCCAGCCTCTGTGTCGCACTCCTTGCATCCACACTTCATTCCCCTGGTCAGGAGCTTGTGTGTGACGATGGGAATTTCCCTACTCAAGGAGCTTACAGCTCTGAGCTCTGCGCTTTTTCTCAGAAGAAAAGAAGTAGCTCTAGATTCAATCTCTGCTGTAGTATGAGAGGCTGGGCAAAGTCGGTGGCCCCTGGGTTTATGTCTTAACGTAGCACCTCTGAGCGTTTCTTTGAAGTGTGGTGTCTGAGCTTGCACTACAAAGGATTGGCAAACCAGTGTGTATTTTTAGGCTGCAAGAAATAAAGCAAAGGCTTCCTATCTGGTGTGGATTAGAGAAGCCCTCTACCAGGACATCGCGGAGAGTGTGTGAGAGAACCGAAGGGTTCCTTGTGGATCACGGAAACAGTGTGCTGGTGACCGAGGTGGTTGTGTCGCCATGATGTAAAGACACTCTTCTGCCTGAGCCTTCTCCCCTGCTGCTTGAGAGCACAGCCAGAGGTGTGCTGTCACCCTTCAACCATCAAAACATGGCAAGTGTCCCCGCTTTGTGTCTGGAAGCCAGGCACATTACTGCCACAGTAGGTACCCTGAGCGGGGGTGAGGCTGTAGGCAGTGTGCACCTGGGCACCATGTTTCTCTCCCAGTGTGGCGGGCTCTTCCCTGTGTGCCCTTGCAGGCTGTAGCCCAGGGGACAATCCTTTGTCCTTTATCCAGGGCCATGTGGAAAGGGGTCAGCCCCAGAGGAACCAACCATCCAAAGCAGAATTTCAAAGGAAGACTGGAGTAAAAATCCCAGTTTCTTTTTGTAGTAGACACTCGCATAGTACACATCATCCACCTTCTCTGATCTTTCACCACCATGGCTCCAGACTGGCACAGCACTGGATGGTGGTTGTGGCCGAGCATGGGCTCTGAACCTACTCACATGACATGGAGGGAACACAGGTTAGGTCATGAGCAAACACAGGCTTCAGGACTGCTTCGGTTCCGCTGTGTAGGCCTTGCACAGCCTGAGACAGAACGGTGGATGGAATGTTGCAGGGGCCACCTGAGCCACCAGGGAGGGGACAGCTTGCTAAGTGGAACCTTCAGGAAGAGGCCAGGGAACAGTGGACACTTGCTTGCTGCCTGTTGTTGGTTTTGTGGTTTTTTTGCCTTTTCTGAAGTTCTTTGCATCCGTGGCTCCCTGCCCTCCCTTCCCATCGGTGGGACTGATACTTCTTTGAGGTTACTGTGCTTCCTTGAGGTGATGTTTCTTAAGGCTGTGTCACCCCTTAATTAAAAATGGAACTGAAGTTGGCTTTGAGGTTGACAGAAGGGTAGAACATATATTTCTTAATACTTAGAAATTGTTAGAAAATGTATTAGGCCACATTGTTAGGAAAACATTAGAAAAAAAAAACTATGAATTTGATTTTATGGGTTAAGCAAAGCCAGGTAATTAAAATGTGATTTATTTCCAAAGCCTGCTGATGTGTATTATTACAGGTTTGTTGTTTTTCGGGAGGGGTATGAGTGGGGCAAGCCATACCTCCTGCTCTGGACTAGGCAGGCGTAGTAAAGCGGCATATTGTGTCAGAATCTGTTATGCCCACGTGTAATGCGTATCATGCTTTTAAGACTCGCTGTCTGGGGATATGGGGACCCTGCTAGGGCATGTGCAGGATAAGGTATCTTGTGGTAAAGAGTGATCTCGAGTTAATACTGCAGTAACAGTTGCCATCTTTGAATTCATCCTGTATGCTTGCCACCACAAGTTACAGACCACGCTGCTGGGATTTAAGAGACAGCCTTCTTCTTAAACGTTCTCTGCATGCATAGCAGTGCTTGGCACACAGTAGCCCTTCACTTTCATTGGAAGGTACAGTTCATGTTTGGTGAATATGATCACAAAGTTTGAAGATCCATGAGTGCTGGAAGTAGGGAGAAACAGGCATAAACTCCCCCGCTCAAGGAAATCATGTTTATATAATAATTTTAGAGTGATGAAGACATAGATATTTTTATAATTTAAAAATATGCTGTCCTGCCAGAGTACGAGAAGATTGACAGAACCAGTTTGCTTGCTTTCTCTTTATAGACCTGGGCCACATCTGACTGAGGGAAGTTGGAGATCCAGGGACGCTAGACTTAGAAGGCTGAGGAATGTGGCACACGGAGTGCATCAGGCTGTTCCTGCAGACTGCTTGTAACACGTGAAATGCGATACACAGCTCACTTGTGTCCCCCTCCGGCTTGTCAGATTCCCTTAACCTTGGGCCAGTCCCTTAACAGTGGCCGTTGAAAGAGCATGTGAGCAGCCCTGGCCCTGCCTTGGCCCACTAGGTAAGAGCAGTCTGAGAAGAAGCTGTCTAAGGGTTAGAAGACAGAACTGTTCGGAGCTAGCGTGTTTGCTGATGAAAGCTAACTTGAGCAAGCGTGTGTCTCATGTGGTCAGATGTTCTGATTCATAGCCCATTCTGTTTTGGTTAATAGAGTTTCAGTGAATGCTCCAAGTTAGATTTTCCCTTCACACCCTACACACACCTGCATTTACAGTAGACCGTTTAACTACAGCGTTGTAGCATCAAAGACCAAATCATGTTAGAAGACGATAGGTTGAGAAAATATAAAATCTGGTCAAGTATACTGAACCTGGTACCACCTTGGTACAAGCTTAATTTGAAAACAGTGCCTATTTTAACTTTCCCACAGTTTGTCTCATAAAGTGCTGAGTGTATGAAGCAGAATTAGGTTTTGATTCAGATTCCTTTTGGGGTTTTGTGATCCATCCTTGGAGCTCTGACACGTAAGCTCTTGCAGAAAGGGTCTCAGAAAGTCTCTTAAATTTGGTATTTGGCATTACCTATGCATGTTACAATTGTCACAAGTCTTGCTGTTCATGTAGACATCTTTACTTGGAGTTAGGTTCTAGTGTCAGAAGTGGCTTATTTGATTCCAAGTTGTTCCAGATTTGCAGAATGAGGAATGCACAAAAGAAGTAACAACTGCAGTGCGAGCCTTTTCTCCACACTTCTGAGCCCCACTGCAGCTCTTCGGTGGTACACGATTCTATTTTGTTTCATGTTGGGAAAGTATTGACTCAAAACCCGGTCCTAATGGTTATTACTGCCTCTTTGGAACATAGGCTTTTGGGGAAGAAAGAAAATTCTTCTCAAGGCTTTGTGTAGGTTGTCCATAGGTGCAGGCACTGCAGTCACGCGAAGCCGCTCATGCTCAGCTTGCTACCGAGGAGGCCTATCTGCTTCTCTGTGGTTAGGGAACTGGCCAGTCAGTGCCCTCTGCCCTTTTTTGTTACCTACCAGGTGGTTTTAATGTTGCGAAAATGAGGGCTAAGTAAGGCCTGGCTTGGGTCAGTACTTTATGGAAACATCAGTGTAGTTTGGAAAGAAAAAAGATTCTTTTAATTTGAAGTTCAAAGACATGGTTTGTGCCAACTGTACTTCTGGGAATTCCCAGAACGTTATTAATAAAGGGAGATGGCCTCAAACTTGCTCCTTCTGTACAGGTGAGGGCAGAAATAAGGATCGGGGTCTAGCCAACTCTGGCTATGACCTTGTTGGTGCCAGGCTCGGAATGGGGCCTGGTGGAGGACAGAAACTCAAGTAAGGATGCGGTTTCTCTTTTCCAGGAGCTCAGAGTCCATCTTTGGTGGGAGTAGAGGGCAAGCAAGACTAGGTCACGGAGGGCAGAGTGCCAGGCAGAATAGGAAACATGCTGTGACCAGCCTCACTGCTACAGGAAGAGAGAGCAGGGTGGGGTGGGCAGAGCAGAGGGTACGTCTCAGAGCGGTGCTTTCCAGCCTCGAGCACTGCGGAATTAGCTGAAGGCCCAGAGCTTGATGCCGTGGTCTGGGGGAGCCCTGAAAGTGTGTGTTCTAATGTGCCCGATAGTGCTGCTGGTGCACATTGGAGAGCCACTGGCTTGGGGAAGGTGATGCTTGAATTGAGCTAAAATGATAAAGAACTTGGGCAGGTGGGTAAGTGGAGGCAGAAAAATTCTTAGTATAAGTTACAGTGTAGACAGAAATAGAAATAAGAAAGCATTGGGTCTGTTAGGAAGGCCCACGTAGTCCAGGTAGAGAATGATGGTCAGAATGTTAGTATCAGAGAGAAGGCCTTGTGGGGTCTCTCCTAACTCTGGGGAGACTGGGGAGCCAAGCTTTGTGAGTGAAACACCACCGACCCACAGACTGCCCATCATCTAGCTGTGTTAAGAACGATTGAGACTGGGAATGGACCCAGCCCTGGGAGTAGAGGTTTTGGCCGTGGACAGACATACAAGAAATGGTAGTTAATTTTGCCACATATTTGCTATCCCTGGACTAAGGGAAGACAAAGGAGAATTTTGGAAGAGCTGTAGTAAGAGGTAATCAGGAGCTCTATTTTGGTGATGTTCCTTCTGTCATTCATATGTACGTGGACTTCCGGTAGAGTGACCTAATGGGAAGGGATGAAAAAGAGTGCAATCTACTCAGCAGGGTGCCAGTCGATTTATTTCTTCAGCAGAAATGTATCACGGCCAAAAGAAGCCAAGGGTACAATAAAATGTAAACCTTGCTCCCCAGGAACTCAGCTTAGAGGAGAGACAACACAGTGGAGGAGCCGGTGGTGATAGACATACCCTTGACTGGCTTCCTGGAGAGATTTAAACCAAAGTGCAAAGCACGGTAAAGCCGGCAGAACTCTTGGTGTGTGTCAGAAGCCGGGGAGAGGGAGGTGAGGAGGAGGCAGAGAACACAGGCTGGTGTTCCAAGCAGTGGGAAGAACATGAGCAGTCACAGGACAAGGACAGAAACACTAGAGTTGC